ATGGAGAAATTCCGTTCCTGGCCAACTGTCCACATTAAGCGGTTGTCCACATCAACCGTGTCCACATTAACCGGACTCCACTGTATACAAGTCCAAACAGCCGTCCGAATTTTGTACATGAAAACCTCGAACCATCGACCTCGAATTCCTTAACTTTAATGTGCCGACGTCGGCTGTGCAAAATCCTATATTTAAGTTCTGGCAGTAACCAGGAATTCGAGAGGCTTATAACCCGAGTCTGCCCTACGGCGAAGTTTTCTGCCACTGTTATTTCGAATTTCCACAGTCTCCAACATTGAAGTTTAGGTATTCATTCAGACAGTTAGTTCTGCTATGGAGCATTAGCCTCCGAACAGGTCGGACACATGGGACTGTCCATTTCGAGGAATAACTGTCAACGTCTGAAAAATCAAACTTGTGCGTTTCAATGTGACAGATCTTGCTTTCCAGCTATAGGGTCGATAATTACTGTTGCCTAGCTCGTGTCTAATTATGGAAAACAGTAGTCTTGGGATTTGCAATTGATGCACCATTTTTAGGCTTCTTCTCTTCTTCACTTTAGCATTTACACCGTCCATGATGAAATCAAAGACAAGTCCTTTGAACTTAATCTAAGTTGGATCGGAGCTCGTAAGTCCCTCGTTTAATTCATGTATTCATATTCTAGCAACTAATGCAAAACATGAACTTGTGCCGCAAGACGTGTTCACTCAAGCCGAAGAGTACGCCAAGAAAGCCCTGGAAGAAGCCGACGACCTTGATGAGGAAATGGAATAAATCACTTTTGCAAATAAAACCCCTTTAACTACCGCATGGTCTGCTTTCATGTAGTTTCTGTTTTCACTCTTGATCTGCCTACCAAGGGCTTTACCGAGTCTTTTATGACCAATCCATCCAGAAAAACAGAAAAAATTAATCCGGAAAATGCATGTTTCCTCCAAATCCTCACCAGATTTTAAATCAACTGTTAACTGTATCCACATGAAAACCATTTGAACCGTCTCTCAGACTTACACTCGGTAAAAAGTTGACCGGTGTACAATATGCCACTTCGTTATGCTAGTTATCAGCAAGAGGTGTATGCAGACTGTGCGATTTTCTTCGTTCCTCTGAACTGCTGGTCGACTTTTGTTCATATGCGTAAATTCAACGTCCACATTCGAATTTTCGTCCTGCAATCAAATCCATATATGTCCCTCGATCTCAACAATTAGAACGACTGACCCACAGTCTGATGGGGGAGGGGGGAGGTGCTTGACTAATGAACGTGGATTCGAACTTCAAATATTCGATGCCTGGGGTTCAGCTATGGTCGGCTGGCGTCAGCTAGTAGTTTCCGGTATCGTCGCTATTTTTCGCTGCGCGACTAAACTGAATCCCGAGACATAACGACACAAACAGGAGTCGTGCCGCAACTACTCCGGTGAACGACTCTCCTACTTTTCTGTTTAAATCATCTTTCGGTGACCAAACACTTGCCTTTATCGACCCATGCACCTTGTCATTGGCAGTGAAAATCAAATGTGTTATGCACAGTCAACTTAAGTAGGGCGAGCTAATGGCAAGGCCCGAGACTTGTTTCTGAGTGGCGAAGTTTAAGGGGGAGGGAGTAAATGAAGGTTTTAAAGGTTAGCCAAATTGTGTCCCCTGCTTCAGGTTGACGTCTGGATGCAGACAG